GAAGGGGGCGTCCTTATTGGACAGGGGCGTGGTGACGTTTTGATGAGATTTAGGGTGACATAGAATTTATTTAGGGCTCGAAGTCTTTACGCATCCCTTGTCAGACAGACAGTATGTCAGTGAAGGGACCATGGTCAGTCCTTGATGGAACGTTTTTGTTTTGTTTTTGAGCCCATTGAAGACTGTGCGTCGTCCGAAACCCCTACATTCATGGCAAAGTGCCAAGCCTACGCGAAATTAATTTCGGGATCAAAAGCTTCCTCTTCAAACTTCAAGCTTCATCTCAGTTGGCGTCTCAAACAAATTTGAAAAATGTATTGCAGTATCGGTATTTCTGTATTTGTATTTCTGCACTCCCTAAAATATATTCCTGTATTTGTATTTCCAAATACTTTTTGCCTGTATTTAAAATGTATTTCCGATACGTATCGCGATACATTTTTACAGATATATTTCAGTATCAGTATTTTGGCCACTATTTCAATGTATCCCAGTATTTGTATTTCCAAATACACTTTTGAGTATTCCTGCCCAACCCTGACCAATTGCTGCCGTTAGTCCTTTCAGATCATCTATTTTCTTAGAGTGTAGGAACACAATAGAACGCCAATTGAAACTGATTGATCATCTTGTAAGGGTACTTTCCTCTCCACTTCCTCTGTACCCTCCCCTCCTCCTCCTCCTGCGCACCCTCCTTTTCCTCCTCCGTATCTTCCCCTCCTACTCCTCTATACCCTCCCCTCCTGCTCCTCCGTACCCTCCCCTCTTCCACCTGCGTACACTCCCGTCCACATCCGGTTACGCCGATGGCAGCGGAGACGGCGACGTCGACGCTGCAAAACACGGGAACGAGCGCCTAACAGCTGCGTTTTTGCATCTGTCAATAGCTCAGTTAGTACGGCCATTAACTGTAGAGGAAACGCTTGCTCTCATTCATGGCTTGATGGCCGGAAACACGCTCATCAAGCGTAAAGTTTTGGTTTCTCTACAGTGCCGTGAAAATGTCTGCCTTACCGTACCTTCAAATGTTCACTATGGCAACATTTTTATTCCCAACTCTACAAACAATATGTCGCACAAAAATTTGAAACTTGCGGTTTGGCTCAGCTGGGGGAGAGTGTCGTGGTTCTCAAGTTTTAAAAACAGGCTGCATTAGTCCGTCCGTCGTCGCTCTTTTTTTTCCTTTTTTTTTTAAATATGTGTAACATCAACTAGCTTACATGTTTACTTGATATTTCTTCGATCATCGTATTTTATGCAGGCATTATTCTGTGTTCTTCGTTGTATCTCTCATCTCTTACACACCCGTCGGTGTTAGTGTTCGGCTTTCCTGTGGTCAACAAGTTGGGTCATCGGTTTGTTGCGCTGCAAGAGGACTCCATCTGCTTGAAGTTCTGGCTAAGAACGAGGTTTTCAGACCAGGAAAGTTTCAAGTTTACATAGTCGTGGAGTGGACACTGTAAATTCGAGGGAAAGGGTATCATGTTCATCAGGAACAGCCGCAGAATGGAACTCAAAGAACTTTTGCAGCTCTGTGAGTTGTTTTGGATTGTACTGCGAGGAGTCGAATTTCGTAGTTTAAACAAGTACGAATTGTGGGAGGGAAGTGTGACAAGTAAAAAGGAAGAAATTTGGTCGTACAGCAAAAAGAGGCATTAAATAAAAGGGGGGGTCGTTTTGGCAGAAAAAGTTGCACAGAAGCAAGAATGGGCAATAAAAAGTGTGTCCAAAACAATCCAATGTAGTAAACCCAATTAATGTAGTCGTTTCGGAGCGTTCGGGTTCCTTTAAGAAAAAATACCCAATTTTTGTTTAATGTTGAGCTGTCGAGATAAGATATTTTGTGAAGCATCCGTAGCATAGCTGGGAAAGTCACAGTAGATGCGAGGCAATGTTTCGCTTTTAAGTCGATCAAGGCAGTTTCGAGTTTGAAGGTGCTGGGAATAGGCTTGAAAAAAAAATTCTCGTCAGTAAGGGGGCTTAAAAAAGAGTTAGTAGTATTTCTTTGCTTCGGACTGAAAAGTCCGGAAAATGTGCGATTCTTCGTGAGTTGGTGTTTAAAGAGAAGTCTAGAGCAGCGGTTGGGGGAGTTGTTCTAGCAATGCAATGTTGATCTCAAACAGATAAAGAAAATCTGTTGAAAATAGACAATTAGTGTCAGATGGAAAAAGTCGCTTAAAATGTTGCAGATATTACGACGGATTCGTTCTCTTTCAAGTCATTTATAATGACCAGAAGACTTCCTGTCCGCCCAGGGGAGTTGTAAATGAAAATTTGTACTTTGCAAAAAGTTCTATCGACATTCCTCCCAAGCTGCCTCAAATCAATCGAGATGACCAGTCCAATCGGTCTCTAAAAATCGAAAGAGCTGCTGAACTGTTAAGTCCTTCCACCAGAAAATAGTGTGTTGTCATCTGACTTAGCATAAAAGGCTTATATTAATTTCTTTGTCAACCATTACGACTCCCAAGGTTATAGGACTTGTTAGAGCTAAATTTGGTTTTGTTCCTTTTGCAATCCAGGATAGACGTAGGACTATTTTTGAACCGAGCAGAACAGTATCTGAAATTTACAGCCGTCGATTTGATCGGGGCAAAGTTGCTCAAAAGGAAGGAGTCTGAATCGGTTCGTCTATGGTGCCGGCGTTGTCCGAGGTATATTTGGCTCTGTTGTACGTGTCCTTGGGGAAAGTGGCACAATCGTTCCCAGAGGGGTTGGTTCTGATTAGGAAATACGTTGATGACATTTTGATATGCTCGGTTGTGATAGAGGTACAGCAAAAGATCAATGAGGTAATAGTAGAAGCGGCGCCGGAGTTGATCTTTAGAACTGAGAAACCTGATGAATGCCTGTTGCGGTATTTGGATCTGAGGATGGACCCGCTAAACGAGTTGTGTTTGGAATATTGCAATCTCGCGGCAAACCCTTGTTGCCAATCGGCCAAACGAGGTGTAGTGATGCTTTTACTTGACACGTTCTAAACAAGTCTTGCTGGCTCAAAGTATAGGAAGCCGTCAGGAGGCAATTGGTACGCGCAAAGGAGACTGTGTATAAGAGCAACATTGTGGAGAGGTTCGCAAGGAAATGCTTGGAGAGATTTGGAGTATATTGGTGAGAAAAGAGTGTGAGATACCAGACAGCGTCTTGAGCATTCCATTTTTGTATACTTTTTCGCACAACCTTCTGGCGGTGGCCGGCAGGTTGCGGGTTCGGGTGGTTTTGTCTTCCCACTTTGAGTTGAACAGGCTTACGCCGTTTGTGGGTGGAGCACGGGGTTGTCAATCACGGCACAAGGAAACCGTCGTTTATTGTCAGGCAGGAGTAGTGTATGATACCCCAATGGCCTGTGGGTGTTTGTACGTGGGACAAACAAAAGGATGTCATATTGACAGATTTCTTGAGCACATGAGGGCGGTCAAGTACAGATTGTCGAATTCTGAAATCGCCAAACATGTGCTGGAAAGCAATAATTGTTTGCCTGATTGGGGGACAACTGTGGTGTAAAGCAAAAAATATATTGTTCAAAAAGAGTCTGGAACAAGACACTCAGGAAATTGCATCAGTTAACCGCGGGAAATTGCATCAGTTAACCGTCGATAATACTAGATAGAGCGACACAAAAGTTTTTGTAGCTGCAATAGTTTTTTTTTGTGATTCATTGTTTGCTTTATCAGGCGGAAGTGTCGGACCTCTAAACGGATTCCTACGGGCGCCCTTGAGCAGGTTGCAGTGTTTTGAAGTGTTGCAGGTACCATTGTTTTGAACGAGAGGAGGCCTCTAACGCCGTTGAAGGTCACAAAGACGAATTCCGGGAAACGTTTGTTACGTGGGGAGTCATGAAACGCTTTTCCAACTGTTTCCTGTTTAGTTTTCCTCTTCAACTCATAAATCGCGCATTCTACCAAACAGTTCAAGAAGACGGAAAGGGGGAGTCCTCTCTTGCTCGGACTCTCGTTTGTGTAAACCGGACACAGCCATTGTCCCCCTAGAAGATTAGCCCGTCGCTCAAAATTCAGACAAAAGTTGCTTTCCCCACCCAGTTCACCCCGAAGCTGACAGTGCTGTGGAAGTTACGTGCTCCTTGGGCCAGCCACACTTTTGCCACGTGATCGTGCTCTCTGCGCATTCCCACGCACAGAGAATGAGGTCAGGTGCTGAAAGAGGGGCGGCTGAATGGTCCGGCATGCGCGTAGCTCCCACTACAATGTCAGCTTAGGGATGAAGGGAATAAGTGAGCTCCGGTGTCGTGTGACATTCGTTTGGGCCCGGTGACGCGCTGCGGGGCCGGGTGACGCGCTGCGGGGTGCGCGGATGTATTCCAGTGAAAAGGCAGAGAGCTTACGAAGGGAAGGACGTACGATGTAGTCCGCTGTGTCTTCAAATTTTCGTACCGAAAGTCAGGCTTCTGACTTTCTGCCTTTTTTTTTTTGGCCCATTGAACGATGTTCTATCAGTAAAATCCCTATATAAATTGATTTATTTCGGCTCAAAATTCGTTTCATAGGCCGTTTAAGGTTCTTCTTTGAATTGAGCTCATGACGCATTGTACCATGGTGGTAGATCATCAAGACGTGGGCGAGTTCCGGGAGACTTGTATATGAGAGATGGCATATAAACGGTTGTGTAAATAAACTTTAGTAGCCTCGTTCGAGACGTGTTCGTCCGCTTCTTGGTCCGTCGTCTCCGGCTTTTTTTCTAAAATGCGTATCATCAACCAGCTCTCATGTTTACTTACTCATTGTTCAATCAGCATTTGAGCTCTATATAATGCGATGCAAAACGGCTCATTTTATGAACAAAGTATTTTCATGTAAAGTTTGTAAACTAATAAGTGCACCACTGTCAAAGTCTTTACTTTGTATATTTCTGAGACTGTTTTCTTCAGTTTCACCATCGACGGCATGCTAGACTTCACGCTTTCCGTCCGCTATACCGTATTTAACGAACAAGGCTGTCCTGGGTTTAATTGAAGTAAACAAATCGCATAAATACGAATAATTAAACAACAAATCTGAAATTTTATTACTGGAAGTCTGAAATGCAACAATAGAAACAAAGAAAAAAGTTCACCTTTAAGGGGTAGCCACGAACTCCCGGTATTAACAACGAGTTTAGACCTTTCTTGGCATTGTAACGTTTATTTGTAATAATGCATAATAAATCTAATGCTTATTGGTAATAATATCAAACTCCTGAATAAACTGCATAAAATTATTACACGTTGATATCTCTCTCCTTCATCTCTTCAATAATCGTGGGGTCCAGGTTAAGAGGCAGGTCTCCTCTTCGTTCGCGTCCGAAGAAAGTCGATATGAGGTCCACGCCGCAGTTTACGGTCCGGTTGGCGTCTTCGGCGGACCCCAGCCTAGGGTTAACTTCAGCTAGATCCAAAACTCGGAGTTGACCTGCGTGCGGGAAAGTTTGCTGTTCAAAATAGGAACTGAAGAATTGTTTGACGATTTCGGAGATTTACGTCGTTTCACATTGCCCAAATCGAAAAACAACTTTGACCGGTTCTGCAGCTTGTCCTTATGTTTCACCTTAAAAAAAAAAAAAGAAAGAAAATTTTAAATCGCTTTTTTTCTTCCCTTTCTTCCTTCCTTCCCTCCCCCCCCCCCCCCCCCCCCCCCCCCCCGAAAAGGATTCTTCGTGAAAAACCCATAAGGGGTTATTTTAAGCTCAGTTTTGATTTGAAAAAAGATATTCTTCGCTCTGCTGCCTTTCAGTGCGCCAGGGCGTGATGGAGCTTGAGTCGAAACCGTTCTTCACGAGCTAAAATAGTTTTTGTGGCACCGAAGAGCCTTTCAAGAACGTATTTCATTAAGAATGCACAGCTGTGGTAAATTCAAGTGGTAGATCTGAAGCGCTTTCTGAAATCATTGAGGAAGGCAAAATTTCGCCCTGTGGGACCCGCTCCAAATCGACGAGAGGATTATGGACTCGCGATTTTGGAGCAATCCGGCCGAGACGTTCGGCCGTTCAAAATGGCCGCTGTTTGAACTTGGAAAGCCTACCAACGCCTCAGCCGACTTAGCTTTCCGACGACCTGTCACAAGTATCACTGCGTGTTTAGCGGCAGAAATAATTAGAGGCCGGATCTCTAGGCAAATCCCTATTTTGTTCCTTTGGTTCCTATCGTGCCTTTTCTATATATGAGCACGAATTACGAGTTAAAGGGGGTCATGAAACGCTTTTCCAACTTTTTCCTGTTTAGCTTTCCTCCTCAACTCATAAATCGCGCACTGCGCCAAACAGTTCAAGAAGACGAAAAGAGGGGAGGTCGCTCTTGCTCGGAATCTGGTTTGTGTACTCGGACAGAGCCATTGTCCCCCTAGAAGGTTAGCCCGTCGCTCACAATTCAGACAAAAGTTGCTTTCCTCACCCCGTTCACCCCGAAGCTGACAGTGCTGTGGAAGCTACGTGCTCGTTGGACCAGCCAGACCTGCCACGTGATCACGCTCCTTCGCGCATACCCACGCGCAGAGAATGAGGTCAGGTGATGAAAGGTAGGCGGCTGATTGGTCCGGCAAGCGCGTAGCTTCCACCACAATGTCAGCTTAGGGGGGAAGGGAATAAGTGACGTCCGGTTTCGTGTGACGTGCGTTTGGACCCGATGACGCGCTTTTGGGCCGCGGATGTATCACAGTGAAAAGGCAGACAGGTTACGAAGGGGAGGAGGTACGAAATAGTCCGCTGTGTTTTCAAATTTTCGCACTGAAAGTCAGGCTTTTGACTTCCTACCTTTTTTCTTTTGGCCCACTGAACGAAGTGCTATTAGTGAAATCCCAATCTAAAATGATTTATCCCAACCCAAAATTCGTTTCATGGGCCCTTCAAGAGGAGTTTTAAGAGTGTTTTTTTGTGCCGATAACTGCCTATTTTGGCGTTTGAGCCTAAATTACCGTTTCCCGCCTATAACTGCCTATTTTTGATTTTTTTCTTTTTTTTGCTTCGCTACTCCAAAATGACTTGATCTGTTTAGTTTCCATATTCAGCGAACTATTTTTCATCTTGCTGCAATGCATGGCAGCAGGGTCCTCCAATCTTTGTCCCGGGATCCATCAAGAACATCGTTGTCGTTTTTTTTTCTTTTTTTTCAGGCCTGTAAGCCAAGGCGCGAACGGCACCTTCCTTCTAGTAGAAGACCCTTCCCGCCATTCCCCACGTATCGTTCTTCTTTCTATTTCTTGTCTTTGCTTTCACCCCCTCTCGCCTCACCCTGGAGAAGCGGGTTTGTTTTCTTAACATGTCTGGACAGTGTGGAGCCCATGAGCTGCCTGGAGGCTGGAAGTCTGGATCTGAATGTTGCTGTACTCCGTTGCACCCTAAATTGATCTTAATGGAGGCTGGGGGCGACCCAGCCAGTCCAGCGCGGGGAGAGTGACATGGGTCATCTCGGCGCGTCGTTCTGCCCCACTCGAGTAGTAGTGAATTGGCTGGGATGGCTCGTCCTATTCGCTGCGGTTCATTGCAAGATCGGAAAACGGAGCGTAATGCCCACCGAAAAGTCTTTTTTTTTTTTTTCTAGTGAGCGAGCGCGTATGTCTCTGCGCGTATGTATGTTCGTGTGCGTGTATCTGTGCTTGTTCGTGCGCGTGCGTGCCGGCCTAGATGTGAGAAGTGAGGTGAAGAGAATAGGAAGCCGTGGTTTGCTCCTTTTTCGTACGCCTCGGTCTCTAACGTTATTGTATCCGGTGGTCTGTGGTTTGCTGCTCTCGCTTTCGGTGCCTGAAGCTTCTCTACACAGCCGAAAAAATGGTCCCAAAGAGCTTGCTGATGCGCCAATGGAAACAACATTCTATTTGCTACTCGACCGACGAGGATATGGTCTTCTGCCAACTGCGTGGAAAGCAGGTGCCCCTAGGTACCTTGTTTCGGAGAAAAACCTTAACTTCTTTGAATGACGATTTAGCGAATGAAAACGAAACCACGACGCTTCATCGAATGATGCTGTAGCAAATGGCGGCTTCGTTTCCCCTGATCGACAGCTAGGGGTAACCGCGCCAATTTAAAATCCTAGCTAGTCACCGACTAAAGACAGCTTATTCGCTAAAATGTCATTTGCAAAAACGGTCGTCCGCTCAAATATTTTCTAATCGCTAAAGCGTCATTCGCTCATATCAAGAGCAAGAAAAACGCTCGCATCATTGCTAAAGGTTTGATGTAGATGTATGTATTTCATGAACAATTTAGTCGTATACCTGTTAATGAAGAATTTCCTGCGCAAAGTCCACAAGCCTCTACAAAACTGTTTCCCCTCCCCCTGCAGCCGAGACAGCCACATTCATTTGTAATACAGGAATTTCCTGAATTTTGGCATTACCCTCCAAAAACACTTTGGTAAATTTTTATTCGACGGATACCAGTCAAGCATAATGTTTTTCGAAATCTATTGGCCCCGAGAACGAGCACAACCGTTGCTGTAGTCGCAGCGTGCTGATTGGTTGCTCTGTCGTCTCCGTGACGTCACGGTGAGAAAAGCGACCTTGTTGCCGTGAGATTAGGATCATACGAATGAAACAGTTAAGCACGGTATTTAAAGATCAAGCAGAGATAATATTCGAAGATGCCATCAGGCATTACCGGACCGTTCGCAAGGTGATTCAGGAAAAAATTATCTTCCCGACGTCCCGGAGAGGGACCACGAAAAGGAGTCATACAAACTCCTTGACGCTGAGTAAAATTTTAATTAATAAATTAATTATACTCAGTAACAATAAAAAAACACGCAGTGTACTTCTATCGGATAATTGACTTCCAGTACGTGCTTGTTGCCTCCCGTCATGCTTTGATTGGGCGTGTACAGTGGAAACTCCAGCTGAGGACAACGCAACTGAAATACCCCTTATCTTGTGCGACACAATCGGCTAACCAAATCAGGAGAGATGATTAGCGTGCAGTATCTCACGGTGCCCCCATAGACAGCACACACCCAATTTGGGAACGAGTCGTAGTTCACCCAACAGACCTACGCCCTGTTACCTAAGCGACAGATTGTTTCGCATGAGAGCTTCGGCAGCGGAAGGTATGTCAACTCAGTGCTCTGATGCTATACTAAAAAATAAGCAAGCTTGCACAATGAGTAGGCTTTTTCACCATTGTAATATTTCAATCCGGTATATTTAGAGGAATTGGGATGACATTGCTTAAAATCACTCCTGCTCAGGAGGGTGCACTACGCTTTTCAACATATTGCCGCACGCGCAGCTGGCCAAGTAGGCAGCACGCACGTGGCCTAACGGTTATTGTGCCTGACTCTAACGCGAAAAGCCATGGTTTGAGTCCTGGGAGCGACGCATCTTTTGTTTATTCCTGCAATTTAGTGTTTTGGTAAATTCGAGAATATTGTTACTTGTTCAAGGTCCGAATGTTCTACGCGTCGAAACTTCTACGCCGATTGATCCAGAAACCCACGCCTGTATATAAGGGGCTCCACGTGCCGAGTTGCAGTCAGTCTCGCCTCAGCGTTCGATCCTACTGTTACACCGCTATCGACGCCCGCGACGCTGTCTAGTTATCTTCTGTCTCCTTTTATTTTCGGGCAAAATTTCGCCCCATCAGACATTTATTTTGCCTTAGTTTGTTTCGTCGCCACATCATTTGACATTCGTGACATTTTGGTGGAGGCTCTCTCGCTGCCTTTGAAAAGTGACGACGACGTGGGATGGGCCGCAGATACGAACCGCTGGTGGACACCTCATGACGCCTGTGGGAGGGTGCACTGCTCGAGTCAAAATTCACGGCGAGACATGCCCTGTGAAGTTCGTCATTCTGCAAGACTGCGCGAAGAACGTTATCCTCGAAACGAACTTCCTCTGCGAGTATGGCGCCGTCATTGACCTCGGGGCAAACAAGTTGACGCTGCTAAAGCCTGTCCTGCCGCCGATGGAGACCAACCCGACGTCAACCGCGATCCGAGTTATCGCCGACCATGTGAACCTACCGCCGTGGTGGAGTATTTCCGTCACCGTCATAACCGACGCAGCCATGAACGGTGAAGCTCTTCTGGGCGGTAGCGTCCAACTGCTCCTTGAAAAAGGAATTGGCGTCGCACGAGGCGTAAGGAATTTCAAAGATGGGCAAACAACTGTTCTTGTGACAAACTTTTGAGAGGAGCCGGAGCACCTAACGAAGGGTGCCACCGTTTGCTTCGTGGAGGAGCTCCAGGCGCCAGCCATAATCACCGCAATCTCCGTGGAAACCTCGTCCTCACAGCAGAAGAGCACGTCACCGCAGCCGCTCTACATCGACCCCGAGCTCTCAGCTCCTAAGCGCCGGCAACTGGTTGATCTCCTCGCCGAACACAGTGACTGTTTTTCCACGTCGTCAAAAGTTCGCCAAACACCATTGGCGAAACATCGCATTATAATCGAGGACGACGCGCTTCTTGTCCATCAGTCGCTGT